GTGTGGGTGTGGGTGTGAGTGTGGGTGTGGGTGGGTGTGGGTGCGGGCCTGAGTGTGGGTGTGGATGGGATGTGGGCCTGAGTGTGGGTGTGGGGTGTGGGTAAAGTATCTACAACCACAACCACACCCACACCCTTCTGTCGAATATTGAGATCTCGTATATAGTCGAGTGTGGGTAGAGATGTGGATGGTTGAATGATTATCTACACTGACACTCTCAAGTGATATTTATTTATTTTTAGAATCAGTATCTATATATGTGACAAACTATTATGAACAATCAATATAGAGTAAACATCAAAATCTCTATGATAGTAACTATCATTATCAAGAGATGCAAGCGATAGTTTCTTGTTTTATTGAACGTCGTCGTGATATTCTTTAAGCTAATTAGATTCTAGCAAAATAAAACATTTCATTAAGTCCATGTAATGCTCTTATAGAAAAATTAACTGAAGGTTCAAATCATTATTTTCATGTTTATACATTAAATGAAGATTATCTTCAATGTGAGTAGCTTAATTAATATGTCTATTTTATGTCAAAACTAATATGAAACTTACAGCACCATGTGAAATCGATACGAAGATTTTAAAAAAAGCCCATTTTATTTAGTTTCATTGCCAAAACCACTTGATCTCGACATTAGAAAAGTCAATGATCGATCGATTACATTAGCATGGTTACTACCTATGTAATCATTACAGGATAAAACTGATACTATATGACCTTATATATTTGAAGTATGTGATTTTTGAAGAATATTCACAACATCAATCAGAAAAACTTGGCGCATCAGAAACAACATATATACAAATAGGTTTTTATTCTGTCTTCGTACATTAACATGTGAAACACAAGTTTTATCACTTAAATTTACATAAAAAACTAAACATTATATTAGTGAAGAATGTGAGGCATAAAAAAAAATTTGAATACTATAAATTGTGTTTTTCACTGAAAATTCTTCGTATGATCGTTCAAGGAAAGTAGTAACATAGTTCATTCATTCTTGACTTGACAACCAACTCCACCTATTTTTCCTCCTTTACGGAAAATAGTCGACATTGTTGGGCAATCGGGTTGGCTGCTAGTAGATATAAATTTTTTAAACAATTTTCTTTCTTTTCCATCATACCGCCCTGCCCTATCTTCTCAGGGCAGAGAATGTTATTCATGACCTTCAAGTCTATAGTCCTAAATAGTTGATTGTGACAAAGATAACAGATATCATGTTGTTCTGCTGTTTTGTTACAATTGTAATATGCATTTTATTGTGATCAACAATGGCAAACAGGAGGAGTAGCGTTGTCGCTACTATTGGCATAGATATTCACTATAATGCTTCATCACACCAGTTGTGTCTGTTTTGTACAGAAGACGAGTTAAATGTAGGAGAAAGAAAAAGAGAGACAAGTACGAATAAAAAACAAAGTGAGCAGGCAGCTTCGTCGGTCAAGAGGTCACAGCGGTTATAGCAGCATAGTGACCCATCGTTTTGAGAACGTTGAACCAATAAAAGAAGAAGAAGAAGAAGATAGGTCATATCTTTTCTGTTCGTACAGTGATCGTTGTTGTCATTCTTGCAGTTTTTTTTCTCATGATTACTCTATCAAATTTTGAGACGAAATAATTTATTAAGTGTTAATTTCTTATAGATTGTGCAAAGTTTTGTCGTATATACTTGTTCGCTTTTCTGATTACTACACAAAACACAAAAAAATGACATCGTCATATTTAGTTACAATTCCCAAAGCTAAACTTAATTTAAAAACGGTGAAAGGTAATTTCTTTTTGTGTTGAAAATAATGATTTATTCTTCTTTTTTTGAAATTATTAACTAATCATTTTGATAAATTTCTACATGACATATCTTAGTTTATAAGAATATTTTATATTGTTTATTTAGAGTTTATTACCGGTATATTTATTGATAATTCTGGCTCAACAAGTTCTCAGTTGGTTTCAATAGGAAAAAATGTTTTAGAAACTGAATTAAGTATTTGTCAAGTTATTCAGTTTGATTATGTTATTCTTTGGAATACATCAGCTAAATTATGTACAAATATTGAAACATCAACACCGCAAGGTGGTACAAGTCCAATGGCTATATTTCACAATGAATCAACGAAAGAAGCATTTAATAAATCTGATGTTATTGTTTTTGTTACCGATGGAGAAATTGATAATAGTAGTGTTACACAGGTAAAAAAAGAGAAAAGAAAACTAAATAATTTGAAATTTCTATACAAGAATGAAACCATCGAGTTTTGAAAATAATTATCTTTTTTTTTTCTTCAATTAGTATAATCAATCGATAATTTGACAAAAACTCGTTCGATCGTACGAAAAGATATATTGTTTAGTGTGAGATTTCATGTATTACAATGTTTTATTCTAT